GACGGCACCATCCCAGCTCTGTTTGTAGCCAGTCTTCGGCGTCGCTGCGGTGGAGACGCCAGGCACAGGCTCCATGGGATGCGCCGGGGCGAAGGAGCATTTCCTAGGGGAAGGGATAGGGATGGAAGCAGAGCAATAAACATTCCTCAGCCCACCGAGCCAAAACCCTTCCTACGCGGCCTACTTGGGAGTTAACGTAGCCAATCTGCATCTAATTAATGAGCAAAAAGACATCGCTTGCAAAACAGACTGCTTGGAAGAGTATTGCTGTTCCTGGCCCCCAGAGCAGCCCCGCAGCCGGCGTTCCCGCGGCCCTCGCCGTGCAGAGCGGGAGGCAGCCGCCCGCGGGAACGAGCGAAGGGCCCATCTCCGCAGCGTTATCTCGGCCTAAAAGCGGTTGTTAACCAGCCCGGTGTTATCAACCCCTCTTGTTTTAGCCATAAAAACCTCAGCTGGCCCTGCGGAGAGAAGCAACGGCATTAAAGCTACAAGGAGAAAACACCGTGACGAAGGGATGCACCTTTTTCCAAGAGCAGACAGCGATGTATCCAAAAGCCAGAGGCAGCGCCAGGGCAGAGCAGCTGCACGAGTTCGGAGATAGGCGCAACATCGCCTCCGTGCACCAGGGACCAGCTGAACCGGGCCACGGGGCTGCCGGCAGCTATTTAAGGGCGCGAAGCTGGCAGAGGACACGTCCGAGTGCGGAGGGGCAGCGTGCTCACTTGGTAAAGAGGCCTGGAAAAAGAGCAGGCTGCAGCGCCGATTACACGGCAGAAACGTGCACGAACGGAAAAAAAAACCATTTAAAAAGATTATATATTTAGAAAGAGCATTTAGAAGTGCATTTTATTGCCGAGAATCTAGCCATCTCTTGCAAGGCTGCACACACCCCTAGGAGAAGGAGCCAGCCCAGGGAGCCGCTCTTTACAGGACAGCGGGGAAAGGCAGGAAAGCTTTATTTAGAACAGAAAAGGCACCTTGCTGAAAAGAACAGCGAGTTCGCCGGGCAGAAGCGCGGCCTCAGCCGGATTCCCCGGGGACGGCCGGCTCATCCCACCCCCGGGCCCGCGAGAAGCGGCAAGCTTGTTTCCC